CCAACGACAACGTATCCTGCCTTGAGAAATTGATCTGCGACCTGTGCGCCGACGTAACCTGTTGCTCCAGTGACTAGAACACGAGCGCCTGCTTGGATTGATGAAACCATATTGCTATGTGAGAGATTATTTGCTTGATTTAAATGTAGAATATATTTTTGATGGAGGGGAAATACGTTGTTTATATATTGGAAGCGAAATCGATGGGTTTTATTAATTTTGGCTGATTGAGACAGTGGCCGTTCTGAGATCAAACCACTAATATTCCATATATGGACGACAGAAGTGATACCATTGCTGACAATGCAAAATCTTGAGTTATTTTCAGCATTTAGTGAAATTCAACGTGGCCTTAGATCGAGATTTTAATCTTCTGATTCACCATCAAGTTCATGGCGTTGAAGAGGATATCTAGCCAAATGAATTGGAACGTCAAAATAGCATCAATCATAGAAATGTAATTTATTATCGAGATATTTGACATCATTTTCTTTGGCATCAGCATAGCTGCCAAGGTTGTTGCAAGCTTAAAGAGTTCACAGTGGACATAGAAGCTACGTAAAGGATTCCTGCAGATAATTGACCAATAAAGGTAATTAGGATAACAAACCCATTTGAAATCATAACATTTACTCCTGCACTGTTTCGCCAATTATCAACACGCGCAGATCGTTTTTTTTTGCATGGGCACAAGGCTAAAGCAAGCACGCCCATTTTCTGTTAGTCCTATAGAACCTGACGAGATATCGTTGATTCGAATACACTATCCATTAGGATATGTTATAGTTTATTGCCGCCGGTTTTCTATGTTACAATGTTCGTCGATTTCAACCCAAAAAAAAAAATGAAAAAATGAAATCGCCAAAATAGCCTTCGGGCTGTGCTATCTGTTTGAACCATTCGGAACGTATTTCCAATGATCCATTTCATAGTTGTTTCCCAGGCTATTACGATCTGATCTCGAGAAAGAATCTTGGGCGTCTGTGGCTTTCGTAGAGTTCTGAGTTGCCCGGCTCGCAGCGGATTTTGGAGAAAATTGCTTTGCTCTAGCCAAGATTCTCCTCCGTTGAAAGGCTCTGGCTTGGTATACTCCGCACTGAAATAGGACAAATAGGACGAGTAGAGCAAGAATGATAAATAAAGGTATTGCAATGCCTTTGTGGCTATCAACCCAGCTTGTGGCAGCATTTGCTGTTGATTTTGTCGTTAGATTTAATTCCAAATAGTCAATATTTTGAACATACTTACTTAAACTACTGTTCGTGCATGTTCCTCCTTGGCAATAGCCTCCATATCCACACTCAGTACCGTTCAAAAATTGACCGGTCAAAATAACACATTGGCTGCTGTCAGTAGGATCGAGACAGTTCAGCTGGCATGTGTTGCTGTTGTAGCTACATGCTTGCGATATATTCATTCTCCCGCCTCGAAGTTGACACTGGCCATCTCTAGAAGTGCATTGGCCAGAAGCGCACTTGAGTGTAGTACTGTTACCACATGATACTCCGTCTGTCAAATGCACGTCGGTAGGACACATCGGCGCGTTACCAGTACAATACTCGGGAATATCACAATCCGATGCAGCTGGCCGGCATATTTCCGTTGACGGCTTATACTTGCAATTGAGGCAACATGCGTCGTTAGAATCACTGAAACATAAGACAAATCTGTATCAGTATAAAGCAACGTGGGGAGCAACGAAGGGGTAGAAACCAACACTTACTCGCAGGTGGCGTTGCCCTTAAACTTGCACGTTCTTCCATTGCAGCAATGGTCATCGATCCCGCCTGGAAACCATATATTAGACTTTTGTAAATGTATATCAATATGAACGTATCAACGGCTTATGTGGCATACCCGAGTCACAGTCTTCCCCTGGTTCGCGAATACCGTTTCCACAGATCGGCTTCGCTTTAGTATTTACATATCCAGGAGCTAATTCAAGGGGGTAAATTGAGTGAGTCAGGAAGGTAAGAAAATGTGTTCAATAAGGGATCTTTTACTTACGACGCAAGCAGTAACCAATACTGAGCATGGAGTTACAAATGTATGACTGCGAACAAGGACTAAATTGTTTCGTTGTTACGTTACTCGTTGGATTCATCAAGTATAGACTATTTGCATTGCAAGTGGTCGAGCTCAAAGGGCAGCACCCGCAATCGCCTTGACAAGGACATGTCGCTGCAGTACAGTCATGTATTGCTCCTGTTATATAATATTCGTCAGAAGCAGAACATATCACACTATGACCAAAATGGAGAATCATGTACCAAATCCATGGCCAATCTCATGGGCAACTACTTTCCATTCTTCTCGAGTAACTTGGAAAAAATTTGGTTGAGTGAACTGAGCAATTGAGTACGGTAGAAAGTCAGGCTCCTACTTACTTGACGACACTCCTGTTCCAGAAACGTATTCATTTCCTCCATCTGCCCAAGAGAAAATAAGTGAGTGAGCCATGCTGTAATCCATGAATACTCACCATCGAGACCGTCATACTCACCTTGTTGTTGAAGGCTAACATCAGTAGTGCATAGTTGTCCTAGCCATGCTATGCCGACCTTGGACCCAGTTCTACAAAGCAAACTTAGCATATGATCGACTAAAAACTGTACATCGATCCACTTACGCGCATTGTGTCAGCAAATGCCACAGACCTGCACCATCGTCACCTTTGCTTCCCCGCCATTGTGAGAAGTCACTTAATCTCATGTTGATGGGATAATTGGTATTGCAAGGTCTATTCCATGTCTCATTAGCTGGTGTAGTAGTCGGACAAGGGGATGACATGATCTTTACTTCAATGAGTCCAAGAGAAACATTGAACGTGCTTTCGTATACCGCCGATGCGGCATTCCAGTCGTTTAAAATTTGATACATTGCATTTGATATTGAATTATAGAATTTAGTGTATGTACAATCGGCAGCTAAAAAGATTTCATATCAAGGTTAATGGCACCTCCTCAACCGTCTGCTCATAGTAAAGCTACTCACCCGCACCCATATAAGCAACTACAATTTGAGGAATCAGAACCCAAAATAAACTTTATACCAAGCTGAAGTAGAATCTGCTTACTGAGTCTCGATGATGGGCAGCCAAAAAGTTGACGTTGGTTGGAATTTACGCCAGGTGGTATTGATTTCGATAATGAGACAAGCCCAGCTTGGCCCAAATGCATATGTTCGCGCAAATCTCGTTTGCTGTATGTCGTGTTTGAGGGTCGGTGGCTCTGCATCTGATTGAAGATCAAATCGTCTGCAGCACACTCGCCATTTTTTGGACGCCAATGACGTTTTTCTAAAGATTCCGTATCCGTACTCCTATATATGATCATGTTGGATGCTGCTTCTCTTGGTGAATGATCATCTGCTCTCTTCGATCTATGATAGTTTTGTTGCGATTTTATATGGTACATTTCATCGTCATGACTGAAAACGCCTTCGAATATAGGGTGTGGAAGGTCATGGCTAGGAACGAAAAAAGGGGGTCATTTAAATTAGTGTCGTTCAGGGCAGGGCATAATCCTAACGTTTGCCACAGATGGACTTACTCCAAGTCATTTCTAACCACTATTCGAGCCCATCCACGGGACATTGCTTCATCTTCCCAAAGATGGTTCAATACACCAATATCAGCTAGTGCGAGCTGTCTGTCGCTGACATGGGGAGGTATCACTACTCCTTTGTATATACGATAGTCGTTTTGTCGCAGTGGCTGGCGATTTAAATTATCGTTATCTAGTACTAAAAATGCGTCGTGGTGGAAAAGGTCTCTATTCGGCTCTAAGTGTAGGTGAAATGTAGTATTGAAAGCCTTGAATCTCAAGCGAAAACTGTCGTCGTGCCGTAACTCTTTGTATGAAGGTCTCAAGTCACGCTTTGACTGAAACCGATGCATTGGAAGGGGTCGATCTACGATCTCTAATACAGGTTCCTCAAGAGCTACAGCTCGCTTTAACCGACTTGGCTGCAGATTGTATGCTAAAGAAAGGATTATTTTTCTGATGTACCGGTGCCTCGAACAGACCATGTGAACTGCTGCCATTTTGGAAATTTACCGTTAGCTTCCGCCATCGCATACAGGCAGTGGAGCCAAAAGCCCAGTAGGACGATCAGCATCTGAGAGCCGGAGGAAATGAGTCTATGGAAGCCAGTGTCTAGCACTAGAAATAGGATGGATAAAAATTAAAGAAAGAAGGGGTGTTGGCATGTTAGGTAATAACTCCATTTTTATTTATAATTTCATTTTACAATCATATCTGCTTTAATTAGACTCAATCGAAGCAAAAGTGCACTGGATGCTCGCTGATATTCCTCTCCAGTGGCAACAGTTCTGTCGAATACAAGCTTTCGTTGATCTTGTTGATGTTCAGAGACGCGAAGAATCTTTTTGTTGCTATCAATTCTAGCTTGGATTTCATTTTCTGCGATCAATTTCGCCAACTCGTCTTCCAAATCTTTTACATTAGTGCTAAACGACTTGGCCATAACGTTCAGATCAATGGCAGAGAACGGCGTAAAGTATTGTACAAGTGCCTTTCTTCGAATCATGCTGAATAAATGTTCCACGTGGGCGCTCAGGTAAATGTCCAAAAGGAAGTCGTTCTACAAGAAATGTAGATATGCTGTCAGCCTTGTATCACCTTTCAATCACAACGAGCAAAATCAAAACTTGCCTTATATTCCTCCAATATTTGAAGACAGGTCCTATACTTGGAGTTGTAGAACGACGTGATTAATTCTCTGATCTGCGGTTCAAGCTCCAAATAATTTCGAAAATTGACGTTATCGATCACTTTGCTTTTCAGTTCTTCACGGTCGAAGGTTGCCAATGCACAAAGACCTCCATAAACAGCAACATCATTGGCAGCTATGATCTAAGACGAGTCACTTAATTAATATCATATCAACGTAGCATGGACAGGAACAGTATTTACCTCATTAAATGAGTTCTCCATGCCAAATGCAACTTCCATGAAGAGCTTTGCAGCATGTTTATACTTGTTTGCATTTGTGCTTTCCAAATGAGCAATCGCCGAACAACATTTTAGCTTGGATATAGTATTAGTCTTGTTGGGAATATCTGACACTGATTCGGCTCGTACTATATAGTTGTGAAGGTAAGAGAATGCCCTTTGCTCCACTCCAACCTGATTTCAGAACCACGCACGCAATGTTAAAAAACGATAAATCAAACGCGATGCGGTAGTGCAACTGTACCATTGCCTTACCTTGATGACATTAAGGCACATTTCGACTACGTGAGAGGAAGAGGCACAATAATCCCTAGTGTACGTGTAACTTCTTTGCGCATTGGCCAATTCTCCACAGCTGTAATAATGATCGCCAAGATCGTTGTGACCCATCTGTGCAAGTTGTTACAAGTCAGTATTCACATTGAGAGAGGAATAGCGTAGAGGCTGCAAAAGAGAAAACCACTAACCCGTATGCTCTCCTTGATCATATTATTTTTGTAATTTCTTAGCTCTGCTTCTAACTTCTCTGCTGTCGCCTTAGCTTGCTTTTGGGTTGTCTGTATCCATTCTTTGTCTACCGGTATTTCAGGTTCATTGCGAGCCTTCAATGCCGCATTCAAACGTATGATAATATGTTCGTACTTGTGCGTGTCAAAGGAGTTTGTTTGTGTTTCAAAAAGAGCTAGCTTGTAAGCTTCAATTTCAAGAGCTGGGCATCGCTCAGCAATGAAACATGCCCGACTGACTTTGGTATGGCCTAGTAATGGATGCCGCCGTCGGACAATGAGGATCATGTTGCCAGAATGTATAACACGTTCACGTACTAACCTCGATAATTGGCAATATATGATTCGAGATCGAGATTGGCTGGTGCTTCAACAGTCAGTATGGTTGACTTCTCCGTCGCTGTAGCTTCAGTCATGGTGATCGTAGTTATAAGGCGATCCAAGGCCCTTGCTGACCACTCCATTTTCCAAGGTCAATTTTTTGGAGCTCCGACAGGGTGGGTTAGTGGCCATTTGCATAACCTGCAGTAAAGACACTGGTTCATCTAAGCTTGCTTGCTTCTTTATCCAAGTTCTGGTTATAAACACCTTTCATATATTATTATTCAATAGTTACCTAAAAGCTTCGGTTTGGCAGCCGGCAGATATAGCATGGCAAGCAGTTGACTGCCGACTAACAGTGCATATTGAGGATTATTTAACTTGCCAAATAAGATTATCATAAGCTTGAGTCTTTTGAACTTCTCTTCCCACCATTCCATTTTATTGATTCAATATACAGCCCAGGCCTTATGCTTCCTGCTTACGACACCCTTTCTACGTCTTTTATCTTGACAACGAGCCCGCGCAGTTTCATTCATGTTTCGTTCCTGAACCGTCAGGCTTTTCCACGGGAAGCTCTTTTCGCATTGGTCCTTTTCAACAGCTTCCTCCTTCCTTTTATTATTTACTCAAATATCTCTTCAGCCTTTCGCCAATCAGCGTCGATATTAAGAGCCTTTCTACCATCGCCCCATGGTTTGTGATTACCCAGGTAACTATAGGCATCTGTATCATCCAAGTCGGAAGTATCCCGACTTCGGTTTAGTCGAAGTTTTCTTGTCAAATGTAAGTTGCGCAGCCATCGATGAATTTGTAACAGATGGCTCGAGCATCGATCTTGAAATGCAATATATACTTGTTTCCTAAATGTGTTGCCTTCAGTAAAATCTCATTTTTGATCATGCTCATATTTTCATCAGAGGAAAAATGTACCTTTTGACTACTGCTTCCAATACAAGATAGTCCAAATCTGCTGTCAGTATGATTTGGTTGCCTGCTTGCACTAAAGCATCATAAGTTTGACATTTTTCCTTCGCGTCCTCTATAGTTGATAAGTCGCATTGAGCGAGAAGTGAGGATTCGTCTAAATGTTTTTTCAAGACCTTGTCAATCGTTTCCTTCACCTTTCAAAACAAATGTCAGCCTGAGGTATCGCTATTTTGTGCATGATAAAGTGGGTTGCCTTACTTTTTGCTCTGTTTTATCAGTGTAGACTAAAATTACTCGGTGGCCCAAGTTGTTCATGATTCTCTAAAATTACATAGTATGTCAGTTCCGGCTTCAGCATACGACATGTAATGTATGAGATCCAGCATGTTTGCCATACCTCAATATTATCAGCAACAAGACTAGCATCTTCAGGATACCATCGGCAATGATGATGATGTTTACCTACGACATACGTAGTGATGGGTGATTCAGTATTCAAAAACTCAGGGGAAGCCAAATTTGCTAGTCGCCGGGTGATGCTTGTTTCATCTTGTTGACCAAGATTCATCAATGGTGCCTAGTGGAACAGGTTAGACGTAGAAAAGAGAGGCTGTTTGTAGTTATCGTTCTTACCGAAATGGTGGTATAGTTCTTTTGGCTTGATAACGGCCCTAGTTTAGCTGGTATTTAAGATCGTCTTAGCGGTTGAACATAAATCACTTTTACTTGCCGGGCAACTCACCTAGTTTTGAAGCCGCTTCATGCTTGGACAATATTACATGGTCGAAATTGATAAAAGGAATATCCGGGAATCCAAGATACACTGATTTTTGAATGAGTGGTGAGTCTACAATTCGACTGATGTGAAGATACTATGCAGGTATCTACCTGAAAACAAGCTTTGCCGATCCTTCGCTTTAATCGACAAAGCTGCAGCTATAGCATCTCGCCCACAAGTTATCAGTATGTCAGGATGTGTGCCGCCTAGATTTTCGCCTTTGTTCGCTAAAAATGAAGGTAGCTGGCCTATAATTGCTAAGGGTGAGACAAAGCGGTTAAACTGATGAAGCTTCCACAAGCACAAATACCTTGCTGGCGTGACCCAGGAAACGTCTCCACCAACAATTTTTGTATAATGACGGGCAAGCCTTGAAAGACTGGAAAGCAAGTAAGAGGTTTGATTCAGTTTGTATGCATTGAACATTGTTAAACCTTACCTCCATTAGGCTTTATTTGCAGAATTTGGAATTGGGCATGTATAAGATCTGCCATTGAGGTGCACTGTTTGTGTGATTCTAGTGATCCATCAGTTACAAGCCATGCGGTTCGTGCTCCAAGCTTTGTGGACAAGTTTCTGGTGGCTAGTCGTAAAGTAACTGGTGCCACTATGCAACGTGTTGATCGAAACATAGCCTGGTGTAGGTTTATTGAAGGAGACAATAAAAAATTGTAGAAAATCCGATTGTCGAAGTGATTTGACTCAGGCGGCTAATTTCTTCCATAGCGTGATGCCAAGCAGACATGGATGGATACATATCTGGAAACTACATCAAAGTGCGGTGGTGTTAAAAACACGTTTATCTAGGTTATCGATTTTAAACTCTAGAAAGATAGCGTAATTATGAAAACCTGAGCCTACTCTACATTTACAACAGTCAGATTGACAGGTTATGGGGAAATGATACAATGATTGTGAAATTGATATTTAGATTTCTTTCTTGGGTGGTGGTGTGCCTTTACATTCTCTCCAATGGCTTCAATCCTAGGAGTCTCAAAGCGTTACCAAGAGTGATTCTAGCGGACCAGTAGAGCAACATGCGAGCCTCTGCGAGCTTTTCCTCAGCTCCCATAACCCAGAGAGATTCGAAAGCACTTGAAACGTCGTGTGAAAGCTTGAAGGCATATGTAACAACATTGCATGGCTCAAGACCATTGGTGAGAGACTTGACAAGGTCAGGGTACTGTCCAACAGTTCTGATCAAGTCCTGAGCAGTTGGTTCGACCAAAAGGCTGATATCGGCATTAGGGTTGATAGGCACACTTGCTTTACGTTCAATAGAGCAAAGACGAGCGTGAGCATATTGCAAGTATGGGCCAGTATCACCTTCGAAACTGAACATGCGTTCCCAATCAAATTCATAATTCTTGATACGACGAGCAGCATTGTCTTGGATCTTGACAGCGGAGATACCGACTTCGTCAGCAACTTGGTCAGGGTGCTCGATTTGAGCATATTTAGCCTCGTTCTTGCGCATAACGTCATGCATCTTTTCCTTGGTCTCTTCCAAAATCTGGTCCAAGAAGACAACGTTACCCTTACGAGTTGACATACCGGTGACCATACCAAAATTGATATGTTGAAGTCTGTCAGCCCATGGGAACTTCATAAGTTCCATGGTCTTGAAGAGCTGCTTCAAGTGAAGATCTTGCTGAGAAGCAACGACGTAAATCATACGATCAAACTTGAACTGTTCGTAACGCTCCATAGCAGCACCGATATCACGAGTGAGGTACAAGGTTGTACCATCCTTCTTTGTAACAACGGTAGAACCCAACTTGTACTTGGACAAGTCAATGATCTTTGCGCCATCGGAATCTTGCAACAAGTTCATTTCGTGCAACATTTCAAGTGCACGTCTCATGCCGTCACCAACTTGGGATTCACCAGAGTAGACATCGTATTCAATGTTGAGGCGGGCATACGTTTCCTTATATTTGACAATGGAAAGATCACGGAAACGACGCCACAATGCAAGTGCTTCTTCATCGCCATCCTCCATGCGCTTGAAATAAGCACGAGCCTCATCGTGAATGGTAGGGTCAGCTTCGGCATCACGCTACATGTATTAATGTGGTCAGTACATCTGAGGTATAACAAGGACGAATCAGGTCAGATCAGATCAAATATGTATGACAGCTTACATTGATGTTGACATAGACATGGAACAAGTGGTTGATGGGATCCTTAATCAGAGCTTCTTCGCTACCATATCGCTCATAACCAACGGCAAGAAGACCGTATTGTTTTCCCCAATCACCAAGGTAGTTCATGGAAATGGTTTTCCAACCATTAGCATCATAAACGTTACGAATGAAGCAACCAATGATGGTAGAACGCAAGTGACCAGCGTGGAATGGCTTAGCAATGTTGGGCGAAGAGTATTCGACAACGACGGTTTTGCCTTGGCCAGAATCATTTCTACCATAGTTTTCCTTTTGCTCGGATATAATTTTGAAGACATTGTTATAGAGTTTGGAAGCGTTGACCTTGAAGTTCATAAAGATGGCTTCGGATGTGACAGCGACAATGTCATCGTCCGTTTCGATCTGTAAACGCGAAAGTTCAGCATTTCGAGTGGAGGTTCATAAAGTTGTCAATATATTCCTATTCCCACCTTTCCGGCCCACTCCTTTGCTAAGGCAGCAGGATTTCCTTTGACGCGCAATTTAGGCACAGCAATGGCAAAGTCACCGTGGTCCGAGGATCGAGGGGCTTCCAATGACTTATAAATCAAAGTGGCATCGGCACCAGAGATAGCAGACACCTTCTCGGCAATGATAACTTTGAAGCCATCCAAAGGATTGAGCTTTGAATTGGATTCTTCAATACTGACAGCCATAGCTTAATAAATGTGAATTGACAAAGGCTCAAAAAAAATTTGTTAGATTTTTTTTTTATTATGATACGGTTTCGGAGTATGAAAAGTAGATGAGCTGTCATGTTTGGTCACTCATTCTTTTTGTTTTTGCTGGGGAATGTTTTGTAGAAAACTGGGCCTTGATGAGCTTCCTTTCATTCTTATGGAACGATCCTCTTCATTTTTGGATGCTTACAGAGTTCAAGTCAATAAATCTGCTATCATCGTAGGATGCGTGGTGGCTGGTTTGTCGGTATTCGTACTGATCATCTTAATCATGCTTGCCGCAAGAAGGTATCGAACCAAAAACGATAATGAGTCACAGCAAAGCCTGAAGACAGAAGAAACCGCAGTAGAACCACCACAATTGCCACAGCCGTCTGTAGATCTTCAAATGTCACAAAGAGCTCCCGACATAATATCTCAACTCCCTGCAGCCAGTAACGCTTTGTCCAACTCCCATTTACTCCGCAGCGTATCAAGATTGCCGTCTATACTATTGCGATCTACCTCTCTATTTTCGGTTACCACAGCCAAGTCCAATATAACCGCCCTGGACTATAAAGAGCCAGAAAATAAGCGACATTCTAGGTTAAAAGCATTTTACCTCCATCCTGCCGAAGTGCCTAACTGGATCGCTGGCTCACCATTAGTACGATCGCGACAGTCTCTCTTTGATAACTTGAGAGTGGCCACCCAGAATCAGCCTGAGAATAATAGCAAAGAACAATCCAATGTTGTTTGAAGCTGTATATCGCAATCAGATCTTTCAGTAAAGCAATCCTGCTCATCATACGCTCATATAACTACCTATTACCTGATTGAAGACTGACCGCGCATAACTGTTATCACATTCACCCTCTCAATACGATCAAGACACTATTGTATTTTGATCATCAAAATCATCCACATCTCATTCAATAAAATATTTACCCAAATATGCTTGTTTTTTGCATTCCAAACCACACAAATGTTTTAGACATCAACCAATGAGGATAGGAAGAAAATTAAGCAAGTTGGTATGATTGACCAATGTAAGCTGTAGTAGATTGTACCAGGTAAAGAGTGGACAAATCACACTAGAGTATCTAGTCTGACAGGATATGCAGTTTTATTCCTGCAGCGTCTTTTTGATACGTTGGATATACCCACACTGAAAAGATATAAGAGGTTTCGTAAAAAGCTACCGCACATCTAGGAAAAAAATTACTAGTCTTTACCACTACATTAATACACTCTCATCATCCTACTTGGAATCCTAAAGCTTATACCAGCACACGATATTAATGTCAACCTTTATGCAATCAGAAGAAGAGCGTACAAATGAAAGTGAAGCGGAAACCGTTGTTGATCTGAGTCTGGCTGATGTGCTCGAAGACGAGAAGGTCAAAGAGAAGTATCATTCACAATGGAATTTGTGGCGGTCACAGGTAGGTATATTAATTCAATATCAAGAAGATCAACATTTCGTTCACTGAATGTCTTTTCTAGTACAGAGAATTTTTTGCCGAGTTCTTCGCAACGCTATTAATGGTACTGTTGGGAAATGCTACCGTTGCTGCTGACGTGTTTTCCGACAATAAACTTAGGTTGTTTCCCAGTCTTGGTTATGGTAAGTCTCCGGGATAATGTAGGAATTGCTTGCCCGCCTAGTGATAATTAATGTGTTCTGCTTAGGGCTAGCTGTTACAATGGCAATCTACGTTGCTGGGGATATTTCGGTATGTATAATGATAGTCATTTGAAATTTTCTTGTCGAACAAAATCTAATTCATGGCCTCAAGGGAGCACACTTAAATCCTGCAATGACATTTTGTCTCTATTTATTTCGAAACTTCCCTCTACGGAAAGTCCCTATGTTTACTCTGGCGCAAGTCCTTGGTTCTTTCTGTGCTGCAGCTATTTTATATGTCAACATATCCCCTGATCTAGACCAACTGGATGGCGGTGTTCGACAAGTCTTAGGACAGAATGAGACCTTAAGGATCTTTGCCACCGCACCAGGAACGAGTGTTGATACTTTACGAGCAATTGGCACGGAGACTGCATGCAGTGCTATCTTACTGTTTATAAACTTTGCTATATTGGATCGCTTAGATGTCTCCATCAGAGCTTTACAGCCAATGTTAGTTGGCATATTGGTCATGCTCATCTCGTTAGGCATGGGCGTAAATACAGGACCATCGATGAACCCAGCCAGAGACTTCGGTCCACGATTATTCACCGCCTTTGCTGGCTGGGGGCTACAGGTCTTTACGTCAAACAATTATTATTTTTGGATACCAAGCATCATACCGTTTATTGGAGGTTTCATAGGAGCACTTCTTTATTACCTCTTCTTGGATGGAAGATAACCTTATGGCGAAGTAAAAAGTAGTTTTTACTCTGCAAGATACCACAGGGGCCATCTCCGATTGTACTATTGTTCCATTGTTCTACATTTCGATGGTTTCTATACCTATTTCTTTCCGAACCATCCGCTGGACTTCTTGTCGCCGCCGCTATCAGGGACTGTAACGATAATTCGCCGGCCAGCTTCATTTTCCTCAACTGTGACATGGACACGGCCACCTTCAGTGACATCGTCGTTTTCGTTCAATTTGGCGACATGATTGACAACCTTGCGTTCTACTTCATACTTGATACTTCTAGCGCCGTAGCGTATGTTGTACCCTTCTACCAATACATCGACAACTTCAGGGCTCCATGTCAATGTGATATTGTGTCGTTTTTTGGCCTTTTCCGCCCATCGCATCAATTCTCTGGATGTAATCTCCTTTAATTCCTTTTGATCGAATGGCAAGAAGAATAGAACTTCATTGATGCGTCCCAGAAACTCGTCTCTTCCAAAATGATCATATAGAATGGGATAAATAACCCGGTCAATAAATCGTCTTGATAATGTGATGTCGCCATCTTTTGAATCGGATTTCACTTCATCGGCTGCCACGCGAGCTTGTTTGGCATCTTCACTGTTCATTCCTGTACTTTGGGAGTCGTGATCGGTTGTTGCTTCAAGACGTAACAATTCTGCTTCGTCAGCAATTTGATGTTGTGCCAGATTGGATGTCATGACAAATATAGCGTCTTTGCATTCCACAGTGGTGCCTTTCCCGTCAGTAATACGGCCTTCATCAAACAATTGAAGCATGATTGTCAACACATCAGGATGCGCCTGAAAGATACAATTTTGTTAGCTCACCGATCTCTAGAATAGGTTCGACCATATCAAGTACTGAGAAATGATGATTACCTTTTCAACTTCATCCAAAAGTACAATGGCGTTCGGACCTATGTATCGAAGTGTCATATATTTGTTAGTTTGAATCCTACCTCCTCTACTACTGCAATGTAACTTCTTACAGTCTTTAAGTTTCTCAGTCAACTGTCCGCCCTCTTCAAACCCCTTTTTGATGACATCAAAAAGAATTAGTGAGAATGAGAGAATAAAGCGCATTTGATGTGATGACAGTAGCTTACCACATATCCAGGCGGGGACCCAATGAACCGCGACACATCATGCTATACTCAGATTAGTCATTTTAGCAGCACTACGTATAAACATATCCTTCTTAGGATTACCTTATGCTGGAACTCGCTCATATCGATTCTGATAAATCCTTTGTCTATATTCTTTCCGTGTAGATGTGTTGCAAGTGCTAATAAGACATTG